CGCCCCCCTGCCCCTTTTCCCCTTTCCCCCCTTCTCCTTTTCCCCTTCCCCTTCTCCTTCCCCCCCGCCGTGATTCAGCACTGCGGCGCGACCCCGCATCACCGGGCTCGGGGGGCGGTCGCGACCCTGCCCCCGGCTGCAACTTTGGACCCTGCGGCTGCGCTTGCTGCGAGAAAAATAATTCATAAATACCTCGGATACCGGGGAGAGAGAGGGCGGGATCCGACCTGGCCGACGTTTTTCATGAAAAGAAAAATATTTACAAAGCCAGAACTGGGGGCCGATATTTGCAGGACCGATCAGTTCGGGCAGTTTTAGGGCAGCTTAGTGGACACAGCTGATTTGGATTCGGGCTGCTGGGTGTGGGGATGATCCCTCCGCTCCTCATTCCCTCACGCCAGCCCCGCTCCGAGCCCTCGGCTGGCGCCAAAGCAAATTCCACACTGAGAAAATTCATCTGCGCGGCTCGGAGCTCGGACTCTGCAGCTTTGTCTCGGCACTCCAGCGTTGAGAGCTTGTGCCAAAGCCACAGCCAAAGGCAAGCGTGAGCTGCGCCCCGACTTCGGACAAGGGTTTAAGTTGGGTCTGTGCTCACATTGGAAGCGTTTTGGAGTGCAGCGTGGATCCCCGCTGAAGCAGACCCTCGAAGAACCATCCCAGGCTGGTTCACACAAGAAGTGTTGGCCTGCAACGATATAATTTAGCCTGCTACAAAAAACGTACTAAAATCAAGCTGCTGGGTTGAGATGAAGGCTCTCCTCTGAAGGAAACTCAACAGTGCTTCTGAATGTTTAGTTATTTTAAGAATCCATAATTTGCATGAAAATTGGCAGCTCATACAGATGAGCACCAAAATAGCAGCTTAGCTAGCTATAGCACTGAGAACCCCCCAGAGTGTACACGCTGAAATTCTGTATTATCAATTTTCAAAAAGGCACACTAATATTGGTCTGGAAAAAAAGCATTTAGATCACTGTACTCCTCAGAGCCTTTAAAATATATTTTACGGATTTCTCAGTGTGCTGATACGATTTAAAAAGGAAAAAAGTCCACGATCCAGGTTCAGCTTGTTCTGTGACACAGCCGACACAGCCTCTTCCAGAAGAAAAATCATGACACTATGTTCTTCAGGGATGGGCTCGTTTTGGTTTTTGAAAGGGGAAGAATGAAGAGATTGCAGATATAGCTGCTCACAAAACGCTGGTAAATGTTCCCTTCCACTGGGAGCCATATACAACTTCATTCTTCAACATCTTTATCTGGAAAAGATATAAGTGGACAGCAGACCTTGTATCTGCTGGTGCTACTCTGTTAAATACAAAGGGATTTCGGCAGCTCCACGGGGTTTGCAGCAAGCCTCGGGTGGCATGGCCAGGTGGGACAGAAGGTACCGGAGGCACAAGCCGGTGGAGGGGCTCACAGAGGCCGGGCCAAGTGCTGTTCTCCCCTTCACAGCCACTGCAGCCTGGGAAACTTCCCCTGACGAAGCCAGGGCCCATCTCCCTAATAAGCAGGTGGCAAAGCATCAGTAAGACGAATCCTTTGCCCTTGGCAAAAACCAAGGGAGTGGCTTTGTCCCTGCAGCTGGTAAAGCCAGGGGACAGTCAATAAAACACACATTTCCCATCACCTGCCAGAGGCCCTCAGGCAAGCTCTGAGCCTGAAGTGCCCCAGGAAAAAGGTTCTTTCCCAGAAGCTTTCTGAAGACCCGTTTCATACAAGAAGTTGCCTGATTTCTCTGCCTTTTGTTTCAAGTGAGTGTGAAGTAACTCCCACCCGTGTGAAGTGATGGGCGGGAGTTTGAAGAAGGACTTTATTTAACTTTAGTTAGAAAACACCGTTGGGATGGGTTTTTTTGTTTGGTTTGGTTTGTTTGTTTTACATGAGCACCTCAGATCCTACTCCAGTAGATCCCTGTGTTTCTCCCCTGTAATTTCTTCGGGGTGCCCTCATTTCCCCTAGCAGGGAGGCACCTCACAACAATTACTCGTTTACGCTCACAGCTAAACTATTTGTAACACCAACTGCTGGGGTGGCTGTCACCAGCGTGTCATTTCCGAGTGCTCATGGGCTGAGCTAAATGAGGCCCCTGCAGAGACAAAGCCAATCATCTGCCAGAACTCAAAGCCCTGGAGTCGTTTCAGGAAAGTACAAATGGCATTTCAAGCCAGTACTGAAAAGCCCCCAAAACAACCCAAAACAAAGCAGCTGCCAACACTCAAGCACCCGGATGAGGGGCGGGTACAACCAAGAATTGCAGGTGATGAGTTAACCAAAGGTTTGGCAGAGCAAACCTAAACGGATCCAGCTCCTCTCCCAAGCTCTCTGGTCCTCTCTTCCCTCCCCACTTCTTCATCCCTGATGCCCTAAGCTGACCCTACCATAAAATGTTCGATTTTCTAAAAGTAGCTGTCATTTGGTTTCCAGTTGCAGCTCAGAATGTCTTTGACATGTCACCTGCAAACAATCTTTCAGGGAGTTTTAATTATCTGGAAAATCTAAATATCTTAAGAGTGAATTGAAATTCATTGGGGCTGAACAAAAAGATGACACACGCTGGCATTTTTAAAGACCCCAGGGTTAACACTACTTAATTAACAGCATTAAACAGTCATCAGTCAGTCCTGTGCTCACAGAGCAAATATTACAAATGTGAAGAGAATGGAGAATATAAATTCCACCTTTAAACAAAAGCCCAAAGCAAGGATCTGCTTTTAAATAATTTTGGCAGCAAAAATATTTTATTATAATTTAGAAATTAATGAGCCCAGATCCTGAGAACTGGGACAGCCACCTTTCTTTGTCAGACAGCCAAACCTGCAGTCTTTTTTATCTGCTGCCCCTTGGTGAATGGCAAGGATTCCCTCTCCTCCCCCATCCTCTCCTCCAAGCAGTTGCTGACTGTGCAGCCTGGGAATACAGACAATAATCCACTTTCCAGACTTCTGTGGAGAACATAAGAAAAGTATTGTTTTGAAATCAGTAAAACAGAAGATTAACCATAAAACCGAGAATTAAACATCTTAATTCTTTACCATTTTAAAATAACATCACACCATTTTTTAATGAGTTTATCAAGACAACAGTTTAGCAAACTAACATTCAAACAACCTGAAAGACAATTTTCCCAAGAGCCAGGTCTGCAAATACAGTTTACTTTGATGACAGGAACTGGACCTTGATGATCCTTGTAGGTCCCTTGTAATGCAGGATATTCTACAGTCCTGTGAGTTTCTGGGAATTCACTAACACAGAAATTCTTGATGTGCTTCTTTATCAACATGGGTGCATTTTGACATGTTTTAGGTGTGATACGAAACCGTGCCTCCTTTAATTGATAAGAAGCTTCTGTGACAGTCTCGAAGGAAGATGGCAGCAGCTCAGACATTACTGTGTTGCAGGCAGGGGAATTTTAAATCAGAAGATGTTTTCTGCTTTGTACAAATGGCCAACGGGAACCTGGTTTAACAGAGGCGTGAATCTGTAACACAGTGACCACTACTGACAGCTCAGCTAAAGCCATGGAATCCTGGCGTGGTTTGGGTTGGGAGGGACCTCAAAGACCATCCTGTTCCACCCCCTGCCATTTGGGTGAGGCAGTCCCAGCGGTCTGGTGGTGATTCACACAGGAATTCAGGTTGGACAGGACGCCGGGAGGCTCTGAAGCCTAACGCCCTGCTCAGGGTCAGCTGTGACACCAGGGCAGGTGATCAGGGCTTTCTGCAGCCACAGCTGGATCTGATGGTCACCCCCTGCGGGCATTTGATCTGCTATAAACACACAGTGATTAACGGCACAAAAATGGACATCAATCAGGGGAAAACAATTTACAGGAGCAGAATAAATAACTAAGGCTTCAAATAAAGACTCTTTTTTTTCTAGGCAGTTTGTATTTTCTGTTTTTGTAACAGTGAAAAACTATTTGTTGCATCCTTGGAGAAGACCAGCTCTGTTTAACATCCAAAATAAATTAATAAAGAAGGAGTCCTTGCTTGAATGTGCTGAGATGACCAAGGAACCCAGCAGTGAAGAACTTCACAAATTAAAACCCCTGTGCTGGTAACCTAAGAAATCGGAAGATAGTGCTTGTGTTTAAGCATAATTTGTGATTAAATAAAGAGCAAAACCATAGAAAAGCAGCAGTTTGGGCCAAAATCTGACCAATTACTGACAGTACACATCACACAAGTCCTTCATTGTTGTGAGAATACAGAACTCTCGATTTTCCCATCCTGACCAGCACTGTGGACACAGATGAAGCAAGACTAGACTCAGACCAAATGCTGATAAACCAGTTAACTTTGCCAAATTTATTAGGAGCTTTTGTGTTACACAAAAGACAGAGTCCTGTGTGTCCTGGGCTACTGCCCCAAACACTAAAGCTCACAGACCCACCACCATAAAATCACAGAATGGTTTGGGTTGGAAGTGACCTTGAAGACCACTTAGTTCCAATGCCCCTGCCATGTCCAGGGACACCTTCCACTAGTCCTGATTACTCAGAGCCCCATCCAGCCTGGCCTCGAACATTTCCAGGGATGGGGCATCTGCAGCTTCCCTAGGCAGTGCCTTCCCTGTTCCAGTGCCTCCCCACCCCTACAATGAAGATTTTTTTCCTAATACTCAGTCTAAACCTGCTGTCTTTCACTTTGTAGATACTCCTCCTTGTCCTGTCACTATAAGCCATTGTCAAGTCTTGTCCTGTATTTTCTCTAAGTTTCCTTCAGGTACTGTAAGGCCACAGGTCACTCAAAGCTTTCTCTTTTCCAGACTGAACAGTCCCAATTTTCTCAGCATTTCCCCACTGGAGAAGTGCTTCATCCCTCTCATCAACTTGGTGGTCTCCTCTAAATTCGCCTGGAGCTGGTGTTAACCAAGCGGAATTCGATCTGAGGCATCTCTTCGAACACATTTTTATAAGCTGCTGCCAGTCCAATGCACTTCAGCCTGTTGGTCGACACAACACCCACCAGGAAGTTTACCGACCAATTAACAACCCAACGACAAGTTAAATACTCCGTTTCCGGCTCGTCGGGCTCCTTAACTCAGCCCTGACGCTGCTTAGCATTACCTGTGCAATGTTTGGGGCACAAAACATTTTTGAGCTGCGAGAAGAGCTCCCCGAAGGCTGGCCGGGAGAGAACCCCTTGTGTCCGAGTACCACCCGGGGGTCACCCCAACAGTTACACCACACCCACCCCACAGCCCTAAACCGAGACTCGGAGGAGCCGTCCCGGCCCCCCGAGGCCTCCCCGGGCCGGGCGCCCCTCAGGCCTCGGCGTTACCATGGCAACAGCCCTCCTCAGGCCCCCGTGCTTAGCTGCCCATCTCCCTGCCTGATCCGCAACACCCCCGGGATACCCGTCCTCCGGGCAGACTCCCACGCGCCACCTGACCGGGAAGCACTTCCTGTTCCCGCCGGGACACCGGAAAAAAGGCCCGCCCACCCCCGCAGCCGGCGGGCCGGAGCTGCCCGCTGCGCCGCCTGACTGAAAATCGCCGCTCCGCCCTGCATCGCGCGAGGGTCCCTCG